TTTAGTACTGAGCAAAAATAGAAGTATCAATCAACAAAGTAAAATAAAGAGTTTGGAAATAGATCAAATGAACATAAATATTTGGTAGAAGATACAAAACAAGTTTTTTAAAGCAAGTAGTTAGGAAAGGAGAATTCTTATCCATCCTTCCCCCTAGGATATCTCATTCAGTTCCATGGTCCAATATTTTAAATCGAGTAGCTAATTGCATGGACACTGGAGTTAGAATGCCTAGGTTTAAGTACCGGCTCCGCCAAGTTACTTAACTTTTTATATCTAAGTTTCTACAAAGTTGAGATATTATTAGGACCCACCTCATGGCGTTGTTTTGAGAGTTAGGTGAGTTAATATATGCAAAACACTTAGGTCAGAACCTGGCACATAATACTATTTATGTAAGTGCTTAGCTCTTCTTATTATGTATATACTATATTTTACTTTTCATCTTTATTGATACATAATTGACAAATAAAAATTGTACACATTTAAGATATACAACTTGATGTTTTGCTATGTGTCTACATTGTAAAATAATTGCTAATTACATATCTATAACTTACTGTTACTAGGTACCATTTTTTTGTGTGTGTATGTGAGAACACTTAAGATCTACCCTTTTAGAAAATTTCAAATATACAATATAATATTAACTATAGTCACATTGCTGTACATTAGATCTCCAGAACTTAGTCATCTTGCTTAACTGAAACTTTTTATCCTTTGACCAACATCTCCCTATTCCCCCCATCCTCCAACCCCTGGCAACCAGCATTCTATTTTCTGCTTCTGTGAGTTTGACTATTTTAAAGCTCATATGTAAGTGAGATCATGTAGTATTTATCTTTTGGTGTCTGGCTTATTTCACTTTGAATAATGCTCTTCAGTTTCTTCTATGTTGTCACAAATGGTAGGATTTCCTTCTTTTTAAAGGCTCAATAATATTTCATTGTATATATGTTTGTTATATGTATATTTTAGATAATGTGTGTGGATTATGCCAACCACACAAAAGAGCTTGTATGATTTCAAGTTAGGATGAGATGGGCAAAGAACCTGTTTCCAATAATTTTATTTTCCTCTTTTATGCTGTTTTACTTTTAGGGCATTGCTCCCAAACTAGAGTTTTCTACGAAGACAGCCATCAGAGAATGTGTGTTTCTGCACAGAAACAGATTTCTTGTAAGTATAGTCAGGAATTTTCTCCACAAATTCAAAGAACTCAGTTTACAAAGTTTAGATGCAACTGGACAAATAGAAACCTGAAGACTTATTACTCAGTTTGAATTTCTGTATTTGAGCTATTTGCTCAGCTTGTCACATTAGAATGAGAATATTTGGCACATATTTATCATGGTATAGTTGATGGAGCAGAATGATCCAGAAGCTAAGATCAAAACTTTGACGTATAAGTTATAGCTTTAATGGTTGTTACTGTTCCATGACTTTTACTCTTGATCTTAAGAACAGTGGTGTTTCCTTCTTTCTTTTGTCAAGGCTAAACCTCAAAGTTATATTTGTGGGCTATCTTTGGTAACCATGAAGGGTCTTGGGGCATCCATGAGCACTGTTTCCATTTTACTCTCTTGTTCAGCCCTCATTTCTCCTTAACCCTGACTTCTTTCTGTGTTTCTTTTAACTTATGCTACACTACACAATTTTGCAACCACTTAAAGTCCTTTCTAGGACAATATGGAGAATAAATGAATGTAATTTTTAAAGCTTCTTTAAGTACTTTGTCATTTTAAATCTTGCCTGGTGTCCTGGAAAAGACCTTGAAAATGTGGNTGGGTTATTACTCTTTAGAAGCTAAAAGGGGATACAAACTGGTGAGAATCAGGTGGAGAATACACTTTATATTAACTTTGGTTTGCCTGAGTTTTTTATTAAATAAAAGCCATCTATAAACATTGGGCTGGTAACCAGCTAAGTTTCAAGACAAGGGGAAACGCACCTTTTTATATTTTTCCAAATGTTATCTCTGTTTAACTTAATGAGCATAAGTAGGAAGAAGAACTCATAGGAACTTGTGTTTGTAGTTATTCATAAATGCAGGTAATCATTAGGAAAAGGGCTTTAAAACTGTGGAGAAAGACCATCGTGTGTTAGAGGTAAAGTATCAGTTCTTACAATGAAGTTAATCAAATATATTTTAAACAATTTATACAAAGGTAGAGGAGCTGAGTTTCTTTCAAATGTCCTGTAAAGCAAAATAAAGCCAATTGCTGCAGTTTTAATAACAGTCAACATTCATTGTGTGCTCACTAGATGCCAGCCACTGTGCTGAGTTCGTTACCTAGATTACCTTGTTCAATCCTCCTTAATCCTGCAAGGTGGCTACTATTCTTTCCCTCATTTTATGGATGGGGACGTTGGCATAGAGAGTTTAAGAAAGGTATTCGGAGTCACAGAGCTGGTAAGCGATGGAGCAAATGTTCTCATGCTGGCCTGTCAGACTTCACTGTTTGCACTCTTTATCACTGCTCAATGCCAATTCTCGAATGTTTATTTCAGCCCAGTCTGCAATTTCTTTTCATTAATATTGTAGGACATGAGAATGTACAGGTCAGGCAAATCATTTACTTCATTTATTTTCTTTTTATTTATTAATTCACCAAGAATTTGATGTATTTCCTCCATGAAAATGTGACTTTTTTTGTATTTACATATTTTGTTTTATTTTAATTATTTGATACCCTAACAGCCCTTTCCCCCCCTTTTTCGGCCAAGGTCAAGACTTTTTTTTTTTTTTTTACATAATCTGTTTTCTTGTTAGGTGAAAACTGAATTTATAAGGTAAGTAGAAAGAATAGTATTTAAAAAAATTATTAACTTTTAGTTAATTTCATTTTTTTCTTTAGTGTAGTGATTCTAGAAAAATCCTACTGTTAAATCCATTTATCGACCTAACCATCATCATCATCATCATTATCCCATTGCTAAGGAGATTGGACAAGATAGAGCCTGTAAATTTTAGTTCTAAACTACTGGTGCTGTTGTGAAAAAGAAAACACATTCCTCCTTACTGTCTGTAAATCATTGCCAGGAGTGGAGGTTATATAAGGTGAACAAGGATGTGTTATAGAATGTGGATTCCTTACTGATAGGGACCCCCTTCTCCTCTCTAGACAAAGTGGATCAGGGATTTGAAGATCTATTAAGCAGCTGCATGGATAGTGGTTAAATATGGACTCAGATTGTCTGGGTTCAATCTCAGTTTTGTCACTCAATGACTGTGACTTAAGGTAAATTACTGAATGTCTGTGTACCTTAGTTCTCATCTGTAAAATGGGACTGATGATAGCACTTCCCTATAGGGTTATTGTGAGGGTTAATTGAGATAATATATGTATAGTGTTTAGCATAATACTGGTATATAGTTAAGTGCACAATAAATGTGAACTCTTATATTTTATTATACTGTCATTGAAGGGTTAATACCACCTCCCTATGAGGCAATGAGAAGATTACACAAGTCTGTGGTTCAAGAGATGACTTGTTTAGGCT